TAGAGAGGGAAATAGAGGTTTCCACCAGTTCGACATCGGAGGAAGACTTCAAGCCTCAAAAGATAAACGTGAAGAGAGGTTCAACGAACGGACAGACATGGGAAGTAGGTGTCGGCAAAGAATGGATCTCGAAGGCACACCAGGCCACGGGCAAGCGAGTGACAAGTGATCCATTGGAAAGGAACAAGACGAGGAACACCTCCCGGACGTGGTGGGTGGCTCTTGAAACATTGAAAGAAATGGAGGACTGCTGGAAGAAGTTGGACAGTGGAGTAGCTCGCAAGCGACGTAATTGGGCCACCCAGCAAAAGGCCGAGGTTAGTAGAATAGAAATGGCAAATCATCTGAAGAGGTCCTGGCAGAGTTTGTTGAAGGATCATTTTGAAGAAGCAATGAGGACACCCTCATCAGCACCACCATTAATGGCGAATCCCTTCGTTAGAACTGCAGGACAATTAATGTTCACCTGGAGTCTGGTGGGGATAGAGTTGGAAACACTGACCTCGTATGACAGGCTGAAGTTGGGAAGCAAGAAGCTAGAGATGTATCAGGCACTGATGCAACACGTAGCCAGGGACAACTCAGGCTTGAGCCTGGCCAGAAGAAAGGATGCCACGTGTTTCTTGAGATGGATAATGTCGATGATGTCTGATAGCACCATCCTGGCATGCCAACAGAGAGCAAGCGCAAGCAAAACCATGGAAAAAAGAGTCTCAACGGTCATCTTGAACGTGTATCAGAGCACAGGAATAGAAAAGGAAGAGGGTTCCAGACTATCCCTAGAGAACCATAGGAAGCTAGACGAGGTACGGAGGTTTTATAATAAGAAGTTCGAAGAAGAACATGATGTTCACCGTAACCTGGCCTCGTCAGAGCAGTACTCGAGAATCAGCGAGAAGGGGGAATACCAATATGTGTCTGGAGTGATGGGAATGGCCTACAACCCCTTCTTAGACTCGGAAGCTGGAGGCGCCCACAGGAACCATGAGGTAGCGGAGCTACTGAAGTTTTGGACAGAAAGAATAATGGAAATAGACGCGGTGGAAAAAGAGGGGCCGAGCCTGGGCCTGATTCTTGAGAAAACAACAGAGGTGGTGAGCATACCACGTTCAGACAAGAGAGTTGAAGTGAACATGGGCGATGGAAATGGCTTGTTAACCACGAACTTGGGAGTGGTATGGAAACTATTAAGACCCTCCTGGTGTCCACATCCCCACGCGAGTCTGATCGAGGAAACCACCGAGCGAGTGAGGTTAGCACCAACGGAAGATGAAGATCTGGCAAAGTTGAGTGTGCTGCATAAGCTAATTTCACCTCAGATGCAAGAGCCAGGCGAAAAGACTAGTAATCCCGGGTCAGCAAAGAAATTGGAGCCGGGTAGCTGTCTGGATTCGACGTGTGGAAACGGAGAGCACACCTGCGATGTACGGTCATGCGTTAGAATACTGTCATTTCAAAAAGAAGACCTGGTCACTTGGTTCGAAGACATAACAGAAAGGGAGAAAAGTGAAGTGCAAATAGTAGCGGAGTGTTACGCGAGAACCACGGTGAATATAGCGACAGCTCTCGGATGCTTCTCGAGAATGTGTAGTCTGCAGTCACTGGAAAGACTAGAATCTGAACATCATTTAGTGACGGCGTTGAGCGTAGAATCATGGCCCGGGGTGTTGCAGGTGACTCAAAAACACATCCGGAGCTGGAAGGTTGGTCTCGAGGCGGAAATGGGATTTCCCATGAGCGAAGCTTATGGCTTGCCATTGAACGCGAAATTGCTGATAGGGTCAATGATGGCCAACTTGTGCGGAAGTCACTACCCACTGCACATGGTGATGGTGGAAGCATCCAGCCAGAGAGTACTGGTGGACAAGGCCTTCTCAGTGCCCAAGTGCGTGAGGTTGGCTCGGATATCGCATCACTCGCACAAGTTGTTGAGAAAAATCAGAGGGACAGTACCAAAAGAATTGAGAGATGACTTGAGTGAAATCTGGGGAGAAGAACTTTTGAAGTTGGAGAGAGAGAACACAAGCGATCACGAGAGACAAAACGTGATCGGAAAACCTGTGGGAAGTGCTCCAAACCTGGAAGATAACGACACGATGCATGAGAAAATGATGGAGCTTGAGCCTCTCTTGGAAGCCTCGGGGGAGCGTAACCTCAGGAGCATTGAAATCACCCATGGAGAATGCCCATGCCACTGTTTAGCGCAAACGGTGTGGTATCCAGATCACAAGAACCTTTGCCTGGTGTGGGATATGGAAGAAATCCGGTCGATCGGACTACCGGATCACCGACAGAAGGTGACGATCTTGGTAGTGAGTACGATCTTGGCTCTGAGATGGATAGAAGAGAATATAACGAAGTATCGGGAAGCGGGGACGCCAACGGCAGAGTCAATATACGCGATAGACTACAGTAGGAGACTCGAGTTGTTTGAGACTGCGTGCAAGGTATTCGCCATACCAACGGAAGTCAGACATGTCTGGAGCCGTTTGAGGTACTTCCCATGGTTTCGGGCAACGCTGACGTCCTGGTTGTACATGACAACGAAAGATCACATGAGAAAACATCAAAAGGAGTATCGACAGTTCCAGGCCGAGATTGGGCCGGAAGCTTTCAAGAGACCCCTGTTAACCCATCGTAATGCAATCACGACAGGATGGAAGAGAGTGGGTAAGATGTCTAGAGACAATACCAAGGCGAGGGAATCGATACTAGAGGAGGACCTGGCGAAGAACGTGAGCTTGAGCCTGCACAACTCCTTTTGTTTGAACCGGGAGTCTAGGGTGAAGGCACTACCCAACCAAGCAAAGAGGTTGCAAGAGCAAAGAGAATGGATGCGATCCTACGAACAACTGAAGGCTTGGGAGGAGATTGTGATTAGCTCCGATGATGAAGAGGAACTGTTGAGACAGTTTGCCGTATCTAGTACTTCAGGGTGCAGTACCTCCAAGGCGAAGAGTGCGAGATGAGCAGGTGGCTCGAATGGATCTTGAGTCTTGAGAGGGAAAGGGGGGCTTGAGCGTGGATCCGGGTGAAACTTGGATTCACGAAAAAGAAGTTTTAACAAAGCAAATATTGTTATTAATATACTATATTTTTTATATAAATCAAAATGCTGCATGACAATTTCCTGATTGAATAGGACAAAAGAAATTTTAAATGATTGGCTTGGAAAGCAAGAATTCAAGGGTGCAGGTGTGTGCAGATTTTGATTGCTGTTTAGCGATAGTGTGAAAATTTTACATGGCTGTGAATTTTGGGGTGTAGATAAGCTTAAGTCTGCTGCAAACATCTGTAAATGACCACTGGCACTGTATCTTGAGTAACACTCGGTTTTCTGGGACTCACTGGCAGAAAACAGCACGCGATGAGGACATCGATCTCGAGTCCGGGGAGTATGTGCCAGTCGGTCATATTCGGAAGTTTGACCTTGAGAGAAGCAAAAAACACTTGATTTTGGAGTGAAATTTAGTTTTTCAAAATTTCGAATGGAGCATGTCATGCACGATTTTCTCGCGATAACTGAAAATCAGAAAAGAAAAGTCAGAACAATCGAGTAACAATCGCGGGAAAGTTGCTAAATAAAACGGTGGGAAATTGCTATTTGCAATTTCTGTCATAATAGAACAAGAGTAGAGCTGTCCCATCTAAAACAGAGACGAGAGCATTCCCACGAACTGGATTGTTGTGATTGGAGTACTATTATTAACTGGACCAGAGTGAACCTTCGGTGGAAAGGTGGACAGCTAGAGTGTCCCAATGGTTCACGAGAACTTACAGTCTAGAGAAAAAACTTGTTCTTATTATTAAAACTGACTAACATTAAACTCATTTTAGTTACTTCATTAATTCTTGAGTTGCTTACCGACTTATTTACTTCCTGGTTCTTGAGCGTGCTACAATGTGAGTACTTAATTTAAATTCTTAGAGTGTGTTTCATAATTGTTATGTTGAGGTAAGGCGAGTTTTAGGTTGATCCATCTGAAATGGATCAAAGTCCCACTGTCTAATAAAAAGTAACTTAACGGATTGTTCCAACCCGGTTTTTAACGGCGTTCATGTATTTTGGGTATCTAGAGACCTAAGTATGGGGACGTTTCTAATTCTAGAGTGGGGGGATATTTTAGTAGTAGCCTTTAAGCTGTAACGGGTCGTAGTCTCATGTCACAAACGAACCGAACTGGCTCCGACCGTTCTTGAGGTAGAAAAACACAAGAGATGGTGTCCCTGACCCTTGAGCCAGTGGTTATAGGGCCTATTTTTCTTAAGCCTCATGTGTGACTGCAGTAGACGAATGTTACAATAGTTCGGTAAAAGTCACGAAAATTGACAAAAGTTTTCCTATATTTAGGACAATTGAATCAAAGTGAGCAAAGTCGAGCATGCTTAGCCGCCATCCTGATTGTTTGTTCGACTCACAGACTAGAGGGCATTGGCTAATGGTCGGCTCGTTTTTGGTCAATGCAGTCGTCAACAAGCTCAGACCAGATGTACATGTATATAATTGAGTTTGGTTGGACATACAAGAGTAGTATTCAAGATGGACTCTGCCTAAATTGAATTGTTTGACAGTTTTTCACATTGTATAGTTTTTATTACGACCATAGAACACACGAATAAGAGAATATGGTCAAAGCATTTGCCGATCTCGTTCAGTAGCCTTTGAGCGACGATGAAAGTAATTAATTGACTGAATGGTTTTAAAAACTCGTTTCAAGTTCCAAAACCATATTTTCTGAAGTAATTCATTTCTCTCAAGAGAATGCAAAAAATAAATTCAATATCTGTGGGTAATTTTTATCGTCGCATGATGTATTAGTATATTATCTTGAATACACAAATACACACATACTCTTTTGTTTTTTTGCGAGTATTTTTGGTTGAAAATGGTTTGGTTGTTTTTATTCACTTTCGGTGCGCTTTTCAAAAATGATCTGACTGAGCCATCAAGAATCTATTTGATTACCAGTTGATTTTAATTTATTGCCAGATTTGCTCACAATGCTTTTAAAATCATTTTTGTTATAGCTATTGTAAAGCCAGTATATGAAAATTAAACGTTTTTTCTGTAGAGACCAGAGTCTAAAAAATTGGCAGAAAACTAGTTTTTTCGACTGATTAAACAATTGTGGGCGGCTATAAGTCTCTTGCCAGAGTAATAAATCTCAGCAGTCGCGTATATCTGCATGTATTTTGTGGCTTTTTCTCGTTGGTAACAAGTTGGTTTTAGAGACAATTAATAAAACTGGTTGAAAAGTGAGACATAGCCAGCTGTGAGAATGAAGCCAGGTAACTTTCTGGCACTCTGTGGCGTGGCCTTAGCTATTGCGACCCTGCAGATCGCCGATGCAGAACGTGAGTTCCTCTTTGATATTTTCACTGATTACCAATAAAAAATTTTTTATTTAATTAAAAACGAAAACGCAGCAAATTCCATTCAAAAAATAAGGGCATCATAAAAAATTAAAAGAACTGAAGATGAATACGTTACAAAAACAGTTTATTAACCCTACCTTTCCCAAAATTAAACTGCTGGGCAATTTCATTAAGTTCTGCCCTCTCGAGAAAATCATCGATACAGTGTTTTAGCTATTTGTTCAAGGAATTCAAACAAGAAAAAATATCGAAAAAAATAGCCGCTTTGCGTGTTCCAGGAAAAAACTGTTTTCAGCTTGTTGCGGAATCTTCAATCACTTCACAAAATACACATTTTGGCTTCTTAATGGATCCCCCCTGGGGGCTCTTTTTTAATACTTTACTGTCCTAATTTGCATCAGATATTTTGATTTTTAGAAAAGTGAACTCAAAGTTATTGAGTTTTGGCTACAGATCCTACAATAGAAAAAAAATAGAAATCAATGTGGTAAAGTTTTGTCTGAAGACGGACTTTCTTGTGGAGAGTTTTAGGGCCAGTATTTGGTCAACACTTGAAGGAGTAAAAAAAACCTTGACCCAGCCTGAGAGTAATTACAACGATTTTTCGTACGACAAAAAATGACTGATGATTGATTCAATGGCATCTCATTTTCTCTTTGAGTCGTGATTCCATTTGAACACCCGTATTTTCAAAACTTTTTTTTAGAGAAATAAGCTTGGAGTTTTCAGGACAACCAGGGTCGAAAATTTTGTCGACTTTTTTTAGGTTGACCAAATTGATTTTTCGAGCGCTCCTACAACACTATAAAGACCCTATTACGACAAAAAAAACTCTGCGCCGCAGGCAATTTTTTCCAAAAAAATGACCAAAAAAGCTATTTTTGGGCATTTTTTGAAATATTTGATCAAAAATTTGCGTTTTTTAGGCACGCGCTTCCCTTCAAAATTAGTACAAACGGCGCAAAAAGCGCCTATAGCAAAGTTTTAAGACCAGTCAGCCAGAATAGAGCTTTTTAAATAGTACCAAAGTTTTAATTATTTTTCCATTTGAGGATCCATGTTTCCACATTTTTCTCAGAGAAATAAGCCTGATGTTTTAAGACAACCAGGGGCGAAATTTTGTTGACTGCTTTTTTAAGTCGACCAAATTGATTTTCCGAGCACTCGCAGAACATTATGAAGCCCCTATTTTGCTGAAATGTTTTGCGCGGCAGGCAAAATTTTGACAAAACGGGTCACAAAAGCCCTTTTTGGGCATTTTTTGAAAAGTTTTGATCAAAAAATTGTTTTTTTTTCCGGCGCGCGCTTCCCTTCAAAATTAGTATTTATTGGCGCCGAAGGCTTTTTTCGGATAATTTTAAGCTCTGTCAACCAAAAATAGATATCTCAATATAATACAAAAGGGTTTTCTGCTGGGTTAGAAGCACAAAAAAATTAAAGCTTTGGTCGGTCGAAAATGGATGTCATAAAATAATAACAAAGGGGGGACCCTTTGGTTGGTAAGGTGGTCGAACCCCTGAGAAGTGAAACGTCATCCCCCCCACCGCCCCCCCCCCCTCCTTAAACCTGACCCTGAAGGCAATTATCATTAAGATCAATTTACCGCTAAGGGAGTGGATGTGAAAGGGTCTCCGAGTCTGTGATAGATTAGTTTTTTTACGAGTTGAATATAAAAAATTTTAGGAAAAAAAAAACTTTTTTCTTAGTTAGTCGGAAACATATTTTCAGATTTTCTGAAAAAATGCATTTTTTACTACTGCGAAATGGAACATAGGGCTGTTTGTTGCTTTTATGCGATTTGTTTTAGTTCAATTGGCCTTTATGAACGATTACAATGCGTACAAGTTCTACTTGATGTATGATACTGGATCCGCACCAACAAGTATTGAGTACAAAATCACTGTTACCAGCGGAGACCTGACTACCTTCGTGTCTCTAAGCAGCAACACTAGCGATCCCAACTACTTTACATGCGGGGGCACATCAGCAACGGTAAGAAAGTTTCATTAACTCACGAAAACTTCCTACCAAACCTGACAAAAGAGGATGTGAAACTGCCGTGAATCAAACCCTTCTTTAAACATGATTGCTCATATCCTTTTCCGCGCCAAAAACCTGTCTGTGCGCTATTCAGCAACCTATTCAGTTACCCCCTTACTTATCTCGAAAATTGTGTTAAACTTAAAGGACCATTAAGGAAGAAAAGACCATTCTTACATTTCTGGGAAAGTAGCTTTTAGGGCATTTTGAGACATTAAACCAATTGCATATATAGCATACAATTCAAATTTATGAGCACGACCAAATATGTCGGGTTATTAGGGAACCTATCGGTAAAAATTCATGAAAAATCAATAGAAAGTTAATATCTGGTTTCTCAAAATGATTGTCTGGTTCATAAGTACCATAACAAGTGTGTTTTAGATTGTGTTCAAAATCTGTACGGCAGTGATTGGCGATCTGGCAGACTGGAGGTTCCAGCAACTCCCCGACGTGTCTGTTGTCTTCAGTGAAAATGGCAGCACTAACGAATTCCAAGCCGACTACTGTAAGAATCATTTCGACTAACTCTACGTCCAACCAATTTTGTCAATGAAAAAAACGCGAGATTTTTACTTGTAAAATTTTGGATATCTCACACACTTTTCTCGTATATGCACCTCTTGTAAATACATCTTTTTGAGGCAAAATTTCAGAAAATTGATTAGTCCTATGGGTCGCAAAGTTAAGTTTCAAAGTCAAAAAGAAGATTTGTCAAAGAAGTATTTGTTGATGACGGCGGTGTATCAGCTAGCATAAAACTCGACTAGCATAGAAGTTTTAAACTTGAAAATAGTATCGACTAGAGTGAAAATCGAAACATAAAATTCATTTTTAGTCAAAATTAAAATCGTTACATACATTTTTCACCCATTTCACAGTTTGCGCTTGTGAATTGAATAGAGACAAGCGATTTGGTCTTTTTAAGAAATTGGCATGTGAAAAACATATTACTTTGTATTTTAGTTAGTTTGTAGATGATGATTTTCAAAAAGACTCAAACGTTTTCTAACACATTTTTTTTAGTTTAAAATTGAATCATTTTTTTTTCAAAAGCAAACACCACACCATAGATCTTAAAGCAGTCGGAACAATCGGGGATTCGCCTTGATATGAGCAGTCTTGTTGAAATTTTGAAATCAAGTTCGCTTACATTTCAGTCGGCCGAAACATGGAATTTGTGCCACTTGACAGCGGCGCAGCTCGACAAGTGAATACAGGGACATACCCAAGTTGGACTGCACTTAGCCCCACTTTCGGATTGACGGGAACATTGGATTTTAATGCTATCGGATACGACACGATTCCCACTACTTGTAAGCTATCGTTACATTTCACATCCCTTAACAGCCTCCTAGAAAAAGATAGGAATGTTTCAACTTCAACTAGAAAAAGTGTTGGATTTGGGTCTCATAAATGGACTTGCTGTCAACTCAGCCAACACTTACATACAAATTTACCAGCGTAAATTCAAGTCTTTTTTTAATTGCTCCTATATTCCTACTCAATTAATAAACTTTGAATTAACTTTCAAGCCTTGTTAACAGCAATAGATCAACAGAATAGCATCAAAATATAGCCATTTGAGGTTTTAGAACTACCAACTACATTTGTTGAGCTGGGCCAAGACTACTTTTAATGATGCCATTTTAATGATGCTGCAAATAGATTCCAGGCAAGAGTTAAGTTTTTACACTCTGATTCCTCGGATATTTTTGATATCAGTGGTCAGGCGGAGCAAATTTTTTCCAAAAATTTTAATTAGATTAAATTTTAATTTAATTTGAATTTAGACCACTAATCATTTTTGCTCTAGATCAACCATCTTCCAGTAACGGGCAATTGGTACAAGTTACAATCAACTATGAAGGAGTTGTGGGCACAATTTCAGCAGGAACGAGCACTGGTTTGTATAGTTGCTGACAAAATAAATTTCGAAAAAAGATAAGCATTTCCATTTGTTTTTGACAGAAAAAACAGCCGATACGTAGATCCTTTCTGTACTCAAAAATTCAGTCGTGGCATCATGGAGGATATTGGTCCACGAGCATGGAAACAAATAAAACAAAAACAAATTGTTGTCGGGCATCTAGGCAACTAAGGAAATACGTTTAGTTAAGCACAAAAATGAGATATGTAAAGCAAACTACAGTCACGTGAAGGCTGCAACATTTAATTTTCCAGTGATAAAATTATTTAAAAAATTCAAATTTTCAATTTTTTTTACTAGAGTTTCACGGTTGAAATGTTGAAATTTGATAGAAAAAACAATTGCTAAATTTGTGGCAATTTTAATTCTGCTCGATTCTAGTTAAAAAATTCATCCATCGCATGCCAAAAATTCATTTAATCAAATATATTAGTCCTAGAGAAAACGGCCGAAATGTGAAATAATTTTTTCCTTCATTTTATCGCAAGAAAGCTAAAGTTTTCAACTTTTTTTTCCCGTGACTGTAACTAATTTAGCCTCGGATGTATTCTGATTATCAGTTCAGTTTAGTAAGCAAACATGATTAAATTGAAATATATATGTTTTTTATCTTTCGTTTCCTTAGCTAAAATTATATGTAAATTGATGGGTTTTGACAAAAAGTTTAGAAAAAAAATCGATTTTTTGTATAACTTTATTAAATATACTATAAAGAATGAGCAAAAACATTTTGAAGATTTTTTAAGGAAATTGAGTTGTATTTCAAATCAATTTGGCAAACAAAATGAATCAGGGGCTTAGCCCTCTCAATTTAATCGAAAAAAAAAGTTCTTCGCTGAATAAATTTCTTTTAAAAAAAAGTTAATTTTTCATTTTGAAATTAAAAACGTTTTCCCTTTTTTGGTTGAGCTTTGATTTAAATTCAACTTTGATTTGATTTCAATTGTTAGCTTTGAAACGTAAAAAAAGGAAGTGATGCAAAAGGGAGGTTGTCAGTTAGTTTTACAAGACAACTTTGATATTTCTTTTTTTTTTGTGCAAAAAAAAGGTTTCAGATATATCCAATTTTATGGTGGCTGAGTTTATTAGAAGAAATATAGATGAAAACACTTGCAAATCATGTAGTTTTTACCATGAAAATCATTTTTGGGTTCCTCAAATTCACGAGCATTTTTTTTCAAATTTTGGTTGCAGCTAAATTATTTGTACAAACCAAATTATTTCAGTTGATTTATTTGTAAAATTGTTCGAACATTTCTTTCAATTGATTTAGAAAAAAATCTGCGTGGATAAGTTATGATTTATCTCTTGATTAGTTTTTGAGGCATGTCACCTGTTTTTCAAATTGTTACTACTTTTCGGTATATTTTCAGTGGGAAATCAGGGCAGCCTGGCGAATTTAAACAATCCGAGCTCAATTACCTTGTTCTACGGGTCTCAAGGTGGTCAGTTGTGTGGTTTGCAGTTCAACACTGAAGCCTCAATAGGTTGCAGCACTGTCTCAGAGCGGTACTCAATCAGTTCGGGGTACCAGTTCGCGGGTTTCATTTCTCTGCGAAGTGGCGTGAATTATCTCCTTGTTCCCATTCAATACCGTAAGTGCAAAAGCTCCAATGAAATCAATAGGCTCGTATAATGACGAAACATGTAATATTCCGACTCTACTTTAGAGAGTCTAACATAAACTTTGATTTAAAAAATCCAACAATTATCATAAAAAGCGAAAAAAAGAGTGATATATTTCGCATCCGCTTAAAAATTCCAGAGCCCCATAACAAGAAAAACTCATAAGTAAATCATTTTGTGGAGGGGAGTGTCGATACTCACTTTTTCCAATTACCTCTTCCTGTATCAAAACTCATACAACACTGGCCACAAATGGCTTCTAAAATGTGTTTCAGAGCTGTTGAAAGCGAGCGTGGCGTACTACCGTAACAAAGATTCTTCGAGCTCCGACTTCTTTTTCAAAATTCACTGGCGAGCTACAAGTATCACCGTCACATACGAAATCCTGGACGCACGTGATAACGCTGGTGACCCCGCGTATACAACTTACTTCTTATCAGGTAAGTTCGTATGCGATGTGCGCTTTAGGTAAATTAAGGTTTCCATGAATTGAATTGCGTGTAGCTGAGCTGAATCTTGACTATCATAAAAACTGCCTTATGTCGTCTACATGCAAGAAATATTCGTGCATAAAAATAGATTACATAAAGAAAACGTTAAAAAATTAAAAAGTTTATGAATATAATCTACGTATAACCAATTTAGGCGGCTTTTCTCATCATAATTCAGTCGAAATGGATCATATTTTCAACGAATATTTCTTATTACAAACCCACTCAAAAAATTGCAATATACATACTCAATATAATATTACGCAATATAATATGCGCATACATTGCAATATTTTTTTTGTCTCCATGTAACCCAAGAAAATATTTTTTTCCCTCTAACTAATTCAAAAAAAATGATTTTTTCGAACTAATCGATGGAAAATCAGTTCATTTCCGTATAAAACTTGAAAAATTCTTTGTCCAGATAATCCAAATAATTTATATTTGAGAAACACTGTCTTGGAACAAGGTTTATTCAATTGAAATAACTACTTCCTGGGTTAAAAACGTTTCAAGTAAAAAATGTATAGAGTTCAAATACACGAAAAACTACAACTAGGTAGATGGACAACTGTTTAGCAGCTCATCTGGTTTTCAATTACAAAATCAACTCGGGAACGCGATATAGATCTGGCACCTTTAATTGCTACTTGTCTTTACGTCATTTCAGTCAAATTAATATTTCCTTATGATTTTCTGAAATATTAAATTGATGGAGTCTTACAGTGGCGTGTCACGGAGCCGAAAAACCGGATAGCCGAAAAATAAACTCGTTCTCAGATAGCCGAAAACTTTGTGTTTTCGATAGTCAAGAAGATTGATTCGATCCACACCAAAATTAAACGCTGAAAATATTATTATTTTTTTATCATACATAAAAGAAAAAGTTTTTGTTTCCTACTATAGCCCCCTTCCCCCATCCCAAGTAAATTAAAAACGCTCAGAATAGAAAAATTAATTGATAGGCGCAAAGATTGCTTTGAAAATGGCAAAATCTATTGACCTTTTTATTGGATTGGCTAAACTCGAGTTATCTCGAAACGTTGTAAAGGTCTAATTTTTTAAAAATCTTTGCAACGGAGGCAAATAATTCAAAAAAATGTTTGAAAAAAACCAAAATTTTGAGCACGAGGCTTAGATTTTTTGATCACTTTTTTGGCGCCTTCAAAACACGTCAATTTAATTTTATCGGATTTAGTTATATGGTTAATTGCTGGATAGCCCAACAAATCTTTGTTCCCGGATAATCAAAAAAAAATTTTTGTTGGACAGCCGAAAATAAATTGTTCCCGGTTAGCAAAAAAAGATAATTTGATCCCGGATAGCCGAAAAAAACATTGAGTTATCAACGTAGTCGCACTTTTTAGGATATCTAATTCCATGAAATGAAATCTATTACGCATAGAAAATGCTTTGAGTCCATTGAAATTTTTGTTAGCCAAGTTGCGATAAAAAGCAAGATAGTTTAATCGCTTCCATAAAAGTGGTCCAAATTTTGTGTCGAATTTGCCGTCTTAGTCAAATTTTGTTTTGTTGCTAATTACCTTAACAAAAATGTTTTAGTTTTTTTCGGCTATACGTGAATGGGTCTCTGTGGGCACGCACCGGTCGTACGTAAGCGGCCCAAAATCAAAATTTATGTATCTTGATCTGATTTTAATGAGGTTGAATCTGATTGGCTAATTTAAGCTAAATAAATTCAAGCAATACGGTCAAGCACCTCTTAGCTAAATTATCAAAAAAAAGCAGAACTTCGCCAAATAATCAAAGCAATTTCAAATAAAATTTGTAAAGTTTGGCCAAACAAAAAAAATGAGTAGCTGCAAATTGTAGCTGCAAAAAGCAGAACTTCGCCAAATAATCAAAGCAATTTCAAATAAAATTTGTAAAGTTTGGCCAAACAAAAAAACGAGTAAATTACATTCAACAGAAAGTAATCTATTTATTTTTGGTCATTTCCACTTAAAATTGTAGCTGCAAAAACTTTAAAATGGAATGGCGGACCATCTTGTTTGAATTTGATTGGCCAATCAGATTCGACCACATGAATTCATTTGAAAATGTTGACATACTGATTTTGGGCAGTTTTGTGCAGGAGACCCAAATTGTGATGGGAGATTTCAAGGATATGGTGGTCTGAAAATATTCGAGAAAAAGTAGATAGAAAACGTAGAAGTTTGTCCAACTTCTGGTTTTTTCTAAATACAGTCATAGTTTCGCTTTTCCGTTTTTTTCTGTTTCTCAGTTATTAACTTTTTAAATAGAGCTCAACAACATAATTTTGGAAAAAAAAACATGCTCAGTTTTCCAATATAAATAAAATATGCAATCGGCGCAGAACAGGTTATCAAAGCAGGCTCTGTATTAGGTCTTAAAAGAGCTCCAAATTGATATTTAGACAACTTGAGAAAAAAGTCAAAGTTTTCAATTTTTTTTTGAAAACCCTCTCCTCGAGAAAATCTTAGACCCGCCCCTGCAAATGACTGAAAGCATTATCCGAGAAACTTCAGTACCGGTAGCACAGGTAGTTTACATAACACCCAATTTTTATAACAATGCTGAATCATTGTTTGCCGTTCATCTGGATTGTTAATGACTTTATTTTCAACTGGTTTCATTTTTCTGCAAAATTGCCAATCAAAGCAACAACGAACTTTCATCCAACCATTGATAATGCTCAAAACCTTTTTCTGCATATAAACAATTATCAGGGTGTATTGGATCGGCCAATCAGCTTCAATAATGTTCAATAAGGAAAAAAAAAGTCCTAAAGTTAGACATCTATTTTCATGTCTGAAGAAATACATCATACTTTGCTTAGCAAAATGATATCAACCAGTGAGCTGAGAAGAATAAATGTTACCGCGCAGCACAAAAAAAAATTGATATACAAATTTGGGTGTAGATTTCATTGTGTGGAGGCCTATTACGTGGCACAAGCTCGTTTTTCAGCAAAAACTTACGAAAAAATACAAAACACACAGGAAATGTTTGCTTAAAATGTGATTTTAAGGTAAGGCTTGACAACCCATCCTGTTCGTACTTGCGGAAAAATACCTCGTTTTGTACTATCTTAGTTGGCTTTTGGCTTTTTGCCTTTTGTATTTTTACCTTTTTTCTGTCTTTGTTTGGCTGACAGACTCTATTGAGGCATCTTTGGTCTCCGAATCCAAAGTGTTTGATTTTCAGTGTTTCAGACTATTTATTATGACAATTTCAACCAATTAATTTTGTCAACAAAAACGATTGCGATCGGAGCACCAGTTGCTACTTAGTAAGTGACAAGCTATCTTGCTTTTGTATTAAAAAATTATAGTTGAAAATAGAGTTTCATTGTCATAGCAGAAAAAGAAAAGTTTTACTGAACATGATCATTCCAAATTATTCTTGGCTAACATGACTTTTGATCGATTTTTTTAAAAATTTTTTGCATGCGGCGTAAAAAGTATGTGAAACTAAGGTCTTTACAGTGATTTAAGATAGCTCGAAAAATCAATATGATCGACCTGCAAAAATTGGAGATCCGTCTCCCCTCGAGAAAACGATAGAGCCAGGGACGTATTTAGGGAATCGACCCCCTCACCAACCGAAGTGCCCTCCCTTTGGTATCAGTTTATGATATGACAATCAGCCCAAATTTTTTTACAGGGGCCGAACATATTAACTTTAAAACAGAACGCGCGGCAAAAAAACGCCGTCTCGTTTTTTTTCTGACCTGCATCGCCTGTCAAAGTAGTTTCTTCATAGTGTTCTGTAGGGGCTCAGAAAATCAATTTGGTCGACCTAAAACAAAGGTCGACAAAATTTTAGATTTTTTTTTTGAAAATCCGCCTCCCCCTCGAGAAAATCTTATCCTAGATCAGCCCCTGCCTAGATCCACTCCTAATATTGCATCTAAGCAAAATTTTGATAGAAGCAACTTCCCTGCACCTGGTTTCGAATTGTAGTAATTTTATCAAAGTGGAACAACCAATTAGTTTGCTTCAACTTCAATTGAAATAATTTCATTTGAAATGAATTCACACCGTGTGCACATGGAGTTTTAAGACACCCAAAAACATTTCGCTTGAAAAATTTTTCGAAGCCAGGCTTGTCAGTGGGAGAGCCTCATGGGTGGTGCAATCCCTCCCCTTCATACCTGCAGAAACAAATCACAGACCCTGTTTAGTTCTTACTTGGATTTTTAAAACTTTTTTCAACTGTTTTACTTTCTGTTTTCAACTGATCGACTCTATCAGACATTTTCTGTCTTCGGCTCCAAGCTAGAAAGAAGTGGGAGATACGTTTAAGGCGGCAACGATAGCCAAAAACTACACTTTTTTTAAAAATTTTCAAAAATACCCTAAAGTCCAAACCCTCAACATTTTGATTACAACTATGAAACCCTTTGAAAAAAGGCCGCTTTGTTTTGACCTTCTTAAAAAAAGTCTAAAACATGTTTCTAACAAGTGCTCGTCGTGAAAAAAGTCCTGTTCACGCCTTAGCTTGCAACTAAATTTTCATTAAACTTTGAATGTAAGATCATCAATATCTTCAACGAAATCTTATAAATAAAATTTTGATAATTGATGAACGCCTGCAAAAAACGGCACAACCATACATTCCTTACTTTCTATGAAGGTCGGAACAATTTCATATTTCATAATCACCGTAGTGACTTTTATTTCAATTTGTTGGCAGGAACCTTCGCAAACACCGATGTGGTAGTAGAGATAGACTTGTTGTCAGATGATGGTCAGGGTAATTCCATGAATAGAGCATGCACAAACATCCTCATCAACGATATGGACACCAACGCAGAGAGCATTCAATCCAACCGGGAATACAGCACAACCAGCTCTTTTTCAGCTTGGACAAGTGAGATCGCATTTTTGGAATTACTTAGTAATTTAGCCACCTTCGTTAAACAATCAGAAACGATTAAATAATTAGATATACAGATGACTTTGTTGAGTTTTCTATTTATCTAAATTTCTTCTGCTGCAAATGGATTACCTAAGTGGCAAATGGACTACCTAAAAGGCTCTGCGAACAGTTTTTATGATGTAATTCATAATAGAACATAATACCGTTAACGAGTGAACAGATATGAAAAAAACAATCTTCATACTTTTATTCAATGAAAGGTGTATAAATGACAATTAGACAATAGTACGTGGCAAAAACACAGTGGGCTGGCAAACGGGACAAAAGTTCATTTTTTGGAATAACAGCAGATTTGGGTTTATAGGTGGGTACACTGAGTCTGATCTGGAGTCTTGGACAAGGTCTGGATTGACCCGAAACGCTAACGACGACGTATTCACTACCGCGCTACCTGTTGCTATGAGTGCTGCGAATTTCAACGGTGGAGGACAGTGCACTTTCGATTTCCTAGAAACTCTTGAGTTGGGATTCTCAAGCAATCTTTTGTATGTCAATGGAGCCTGGCTTGGACCGGACCAGGGCGCCGCTCCTTCGTTAACAGATTTGTCAACTCGAACCAACTCCATCACTGCTGTGAGATCAATAGAGAACATCATTATATCTTGAAAAAATAATTTTGTCAAATTGAACAAAAAGCATAACATACCACGCCAAGCTCGGGCGCTTTGATTTCGATGTAAAGTCCGTAGACATTGTCACTGGAATTCTCAAAGTTCATCACTGAACTTCACAAAAATTGAAAACTGTTATGAAGGTGAAAATCTGAGGGTACCGAAGAGCAAACAACTGAACTCAAAGCTAGTTACCACGTAAAGCGAGTTTAAACATCAGAAATCTGCGCTAGTTAAACTTATCGCCCTTTAATATTCAATAACCTGCAGTTGTAGATATTCACAATTAGGCGCCATACCAGCTGCGACAAATTTGTATAGAGAAAAACTGAAAAAAGAAAATGCAGCCCGGACCGTTGGATGTATTTGGAAATTTTCGTCTTTTTTTGTTTCAGGTGGTTGTTTATTATGACGCTCAAGGCGTAGTTGGGTTCGTTTTTTCGTTGGGAGGTGGAAACACGGCCACATTGGGAACTACGAGCACAGCAGGAGGAGTTCTCACGCAAACTATTCAACCAACAGGCGGCGTCCAAGGATACGTCAGCTACATGGACGTTGTCATTCAAAATTCGAGAATCATTGGAGTCGACGTCTCCTTTCAACGTTTGTCCGCCATTTGACTTTTCATAATTATTTAAAACGGGAGCATTTAAAGTTGGAATCCTTTTTTACATTTTTTGTTTTCCGTTAGTTATTACAACAACTTAAGATTATTAAAATTACTCAGGAAGTGTTCTACTGGAACCTGATCTAAACTATATTTTATGATTGGATAAATTAAATGTTTTACCAATGTAAAGTATTTAATATTAACCAATCACGATCCATCTAACTAACAACCCACTTATTTGTAAGTGCTGAAGTTACTTGTAATTTCAGCACCAGAGAGATTTGAATTTAACTTAGAAATTAGTTGGACTCTCCCGAGCACTTCAGCAGCCGCAATAAACCAGTATACCCTAGATCTATTGAGCCTAGCAGAGACTAGTTAAACAACCTGAGACTAGATAGTATAAGAGTAAGATTAGGATCGGTATTAGACTAAGAAGTTGCACGAATCTATCCGGCCGAAAATAAGATAGCGTGACGAGCAGACGGTGTACCCTATCCGAAATTACTCTATGAGTTAACCACTTCGGTCCTAACTCATCTGGTGCGACCATAAGTCTCGAACAAGACCTTAATAGCTTAGAATTAACCAAAATAGATTAGAAATTAGACAAAAACATTTACAAAATGTTATACGACAATAATTTAATCGAAATGTCTCTACGACTCAATAGATCAGAGCCAATATTCCGAACCATAACAGAACTACCCGGAATTGGAAGAAGACCTCGAACCAGAGACGACATACGACAAAATAGAAACTTACCAAATAGTTATATGATAGTACGGCAAAAGCCAACACAAACTTTTATATTTAGAATACTACTGGCAATGAATTTAGATTTTCATTTGCAAACATAAAACCTTGAAGCTAATCTTCAAAATCATTTCAGGCGCTAAACAAAATTATTAATATACAATAACGATTGATAAAAAGATCTAAGATCGTTTTCCTAAAATTCTGCAGTAATATACAAAACATGTTTGAAAAATATTTATTGAAAAATAAAAAATAAAAATTAGTAGCATGACAAAAAATGGTTAGTAATCATAAATCATCCTGTTGTTCCAGCTCCATCACCTAAAACATAACAGCAATCATAAACCCACTAATATCATCAAAACACTAAATTTTTCCTTTACACACATTTAAAATTTTATTAAAACTTAAATTCACTTAATTTTAAAACCAGATCATCAAGGCTTATCCTTGGATCTTAAATCATTTTCTACTTAATTAAATTTCAAATTTGATCATCAAGGCTTATCCTTGGATCAAACAGAACAACTTTGTTCTCCCCCACCCACTTAATTAGTGTCTAACGACCTCAAACGTCGATTCACTACCCAACCCTTTCTAAAGACCTAAGACTAATAGAAATTTTTAAACAAAACTAATCATTCAAATTAGGATAAACAGTGAAGAACTTCGGTTATTCATCCTTCACTTGACCCCCCCTCTTAACAGACCCAGGATAAATCTTAGACTTAGTAAGTTTAAAATAGTATCTAACGAACTACTCGCGTTCTAATTATACCTGAACCTTGTGGATCGATTTACTATTCTCCAACCCTTGAACACAATCACTACCCCTAAGTAAGATTAAGTAAGTTAACACCTTAACTTATACTAGCCACGAGAAAGTAAAAAATCATTCTTCGGAATCGATATACTTTTCTCTCCAACCCTGAACAAATAGACCCAGGTTAAGCTAACCAAAAAATCGTAAGAACTAACAGTTTAAGAAAATAGAAATCATTTAACAACCTTTTGCATCCGTCATCCTAAACCTTATGTCATTTAAAAACCTAGGAAATAAACAAACAATCGTTTTACACAATTGTGAAATAGATAACAAAAAATACGACCTTGTAATCACACCTCATACACAAACAGTTGGATACATTCGAACAAAACGACAAACACTAAAGAGGAAAATAATAACGAAACAAAGACAAATAACACGAAAAAGATTTTCAAAAAATCGAAACGCATTTTCAGAATCAGAAACCAACAGTTTAGACGAACTTTACAAACTAAAAGAATCAATAGATAAAAATTGCCCACTTCACGATCAATTATATTTTTCTGACTCAGAAACAACTTCAAATTCATCAAAAAGAGGAAAAAGAAGAATAAAAAAGCAGTATAAACACAAACCAGTACATTTATACAATTGGAATCAACCAATTCGACACATTAATAATTACATATTAACAGTCATCAAACGAAAAAATGAGCTCAACGCACACCCCAGGTGAAGAAAGTCCAGATGATGATGAAATCTTTCCTTTTATAGTAGATGCAGATACTGATAGAGGACAACACATATTTTGTCAAAATTTACTCGTAAATTTATTTGAACCCGGAATCAGTCCATGTAAAACAGAGTTCCCCGATGTAAAAATCAAAAGACAAATCATAGATCACTACTTAAAAGATATATGCAACATAACACAACAGTATGGAATCTACTCCATAGAATTCACCTCACCAAACCATAATAATAGAAAATATACAATTCAAACAGACGATCTTGATTTAGAATTTTCAAAAGTTTTTTCAGAATATATAAAAAGCATCCAATATCATAACTCACAAAGAGCAAACTCCATATTCACCAATGAAGTTTTCGCAATAATATATAGTTATATTTCGATATTAGAAAACGAAATCCCAATAACAAATGTCTCACCAACAGAAACATCTAAACATTTGAAAGTACGACATGAAATCACACTACTCTCTAGTTATTTAAACATCATTAAAGAAAATTTCACGAAAGACGACGTTTCACAACATACAAAACACGATCTACAAAAAATTTTGGCATGGTTCATAATAGATTATTTTACACACAATATTGATTTAATTGCACAAGCAAGAAAAAATTTTAGACCCCAAAACTCGAACGATGATACAGCTATCACAGAACAATCAGATTATGTTTGGGACCCCGAATGGTCTCATCCCGCATTTATAAGCTTCCCACAATCAATCTCAAGTCAAGCAATAAGTACGATATCTTACATAAGAGATTATGTAAGAGTAATACCATTAACAATTGATGCAACACCATTAAACTATAATACATTTTTGCCCGATACACAAAATAATAGTTTAAACTCTACAGTTATACACAATGAAAACCTCAATGGAACTAGGAATCTTACTCAACAAGATATCCAGACACCATCACACTTCATAAATGAAGAAATTGTACACACAACAACTACACAACAAAGTATTTCACCAATACGCCCAAATTTAACAACACCAAGAAATACAAATCCTTCACAAACACAGGTAACCTTACAATCAACCGTTAAACCTTCGGTTGCTCCAAAATATTCACATATGGATTACCAAACATATAGACCCATGACAATACCATCAAAAACACACAAAACATTCACTAGAAACAACTTTGCAGACCATAATTATAATTATACACATCCGTCAAAAACAAATTATCAACCACAAAGAAATTTTAATCAATATACAAAACCTCGAAACTGGGATAACCCAACGGCCCAATATAATTCCAAAAATTTTCAACCAAATCCTCCACAGGATCACAGTGAAAATTACCCATTTTTTCAACAAAATAGAAATAAAAAACAGACATCTTATCAAATGGATTATTTATCCTCAGATGATGATTTCTTACAACCAGATATATTTGCACCAAATACTCAAGAATATCGTAGACAAGGAATACAGAAAACACGTACAAATCATAGAAATTTTTCTCCACAACCAATAGATGCACAACATCAACAACCAATTCAACAACAAAATCTAATTAATACACAATCTTTTCAACCAATTCAACAACAAAATCCAATGACTGCACAATCGTATCAACCATCACAAATGCAAAATGAAATACCGCTCCCATATTATCTCCAACAACATGAAATAACAAGAAACCAACTTTCAAATTTTTCTCAAATGCCAAATGCAGCAGAATCATTACAAATGACAATGAATCCATACCTTATGGGTGGATCATCAATAACATCAAACAAACCTTTAATGGTTTTCACAGGAACAGACCCTGAATATTCTGTAGAAGATTATTTAAATGCAGTAACAGCAAACCTGATTTTAAATATTGGACCTGAACCAATTAATACGCCACTACATCAAAATTGGATACATCGACGCACAGCGTTAATACAAACAACCTTAGATGGCGCAGCCCAAAAATGGTTTTCAGTACTACCTCTAGAAATAAAATCAAACTGGAAAAGATTTACACAGGAATTTTCAAAAATGTTTGACTCCGAAAGAAACAAACAACAACAAAGAGTTTTATGTAATGAAATTCGCAGATTACCAAACGAAACCATCAAGCAAATAGCAGTACGAATCGAAACACTAGTTCGAAAAGCATATTCACTAAATACACATGACTATAAAAACACAAAGTTGACAGAAATCTTAATGATGACCTTAACACCACAATTAAGGAAAATAGCAATAAAAAAGAGAGCATCCCATCCTTCTTCAATTCGAGAACCCGATTTAGATTTTCGAAAACTAGTAGACAAATTAGAACAAGCAGAAATCACGATGAAACTAGAAGAAACGGAAAATCTGAAATTACAATACGTTAACAGAATTGAAACGACTCCCACTAATATTAATAATATACAGGAATCAGAGACAGACCTCGTTGAAAAAATCACTGAAATACTCAATATTTACGAAAAGAACCCAAACTTTAAAGGCAAACCATCTTTCAAAAAATGGTGTAATTATTGCCGACGATACGGACATAGTATTTCCGAATGTAGACAAAAACAGCAAGACAATCAAAATAAACCTCAAAAATATAAAGAACCAAATAAATCATTCTATCAATACATGAAAAAAGACCAAAATCTACCGAACAAAACAGTCCACAGCAATAACAGTTCAGGAAAACCACTCCCGAACAATACACACTATACAAGAAATAAATCACCATATAACTCAAGTTATAGAG